TTTTTTTTATCCAATCTGCTAGTCTATGTCTTTTGATTGGTGAGTTTAGGCCATTAACATTCAGGGTTATTATTGAAACATTATTTGTATTCCCAGCCATTTTTGTTTATGTTTGGTATTTAATGTGACTTGGTTTCTCCTCTGATTAGATTTTCCTTTAGTGTAATACCTCCCTCTTCTGATTTTCATCATTGTTTTTTATTTCCTCTTCTTGGAATATTTTGCTGAGGATGTTCTTTAGTGCAGGCTTTCTAGTTGTAAATTCTTTTAACTTTTCTTTATCATGGAAAGTTTTTATTTCATCATCAAATCTAAAGCTTAATTTTGCTCGATAGAAGATTCTTTTTTGGCATCCATTTTCTTTCAGAGCTTGATATATATTTTTCCATGGTCTCCTGGCTTTGAGAATCTACTGAGATATGAATTGGTCTCCCCCATATGTGATCTGATTCCTCTCTCTTGTGGATTTTAAGATTCTATCATTATTCTGTATGCTAGGCATTTTCATTATAATGTGCATTGGTGTAGATCTGTTGTAATTTTGTACATTTGGTGTCCTGTAAGCCTATTGTATTTGGTTTTCCATTTTATTCTTCATGCTTGGGAAATTTTCTGATATTATCTCATTGAAGAGATTGTGCATTTCTTTGGTTTGAAACTCTGTGACTTCCTCTATCCCAATAACTCTTAGTTTTGGTCTTTTGATGCTGTTTCATAATTCTTGGATGTCCTGTTCATGGTTTCTTACTATCTTCACTGTGTGATCAAATTTATTTTCCAGATTGTATACTTTTGTCTTCATTATCTGACATTCTTTTTTCCAAGTGATCTAGTCTGTTGGTCATGCTTTCTATTGAGTTTTTTTATTTGGCTTATTGTATCCTGCATTTTTTTTTTTTTACTGCTGTACCACATCTTTATTTGAATTATTCCATTTAGACCATACAACAATCCTGTGTGTGGAATTATTGTCTGTAAGGGACTTTGTTCACACTCTTCATCACTACATCCCTGCTACCTAGTGATTGTCCTAATAATAGTGTTTCAATAAACAAGGAATGAGCAAATGATTCCTCCCCTTCACAGGTAAAGAAACTGAGGCGCAGAGTGGAAAAGGAGCCGCATCTGAATAGCCAGGTGTGTCAACAGGTGCCACACACTCCAGGGGGTCATCTGTGCGGCTGCAGGTTTCTGCATTCAGTGTTCTCTCCCCACACTGCCAGCTGTGAATCTGAGCCACCAGTAGGTGGCGTCTCCATTTAATATTAATATTATGTATCCTGCATTTTAAGGATTTCTTTTTTTCTTTTCTTTTTTTTTTTTTGAGTCTCCATCTCTCTCTTGAAGTAATTTTTTGCTACCTGTATTTGCTCTCTTATCTCTTTATTGGAGTGATCAATTTTTGCCTGTATTTGCTCATTTAGGTCATTCTTTAATTCACAGATTATTTTAATTATGAACCTTCTGAACTCCTTCTCTGACATTTCATCAACTCTGCCATCCATAGGTTCTGTTACTATAGTATCCTGGTTTGTTTGGGGGCACTTTCCTCCCTTATTTTTTCATGTTTTCTCTGTGTCTTCCTTTCTTGCAGTGTGGATCTGAGATTTTATAGTTACTACCTTATATTCTTAGAGTACCTGTGCAGATTATCTGTACCTCACTTTGATGTTGGGCTTCCAGACCCTACTGGTGTCCCTCAATGTATGCTACTACTACTAAGGGTGGTGGCAGCAATAGCCAAGGTAATTCAAGATAATAGTTGAGGTGCCCCAAGATGGATGCAATGTCTTACAGAGATGGGGCTGAAAGGGTGGGCCTCACACTCTCTTTGGGATGCCTGCTCCGAGAGGCAGCTGCCTCTAGGTTTTGTCTGTTCTCAAAAAGATAGAAGCTACTGCATAGGGAAGGGTGTGGTGATGACTGCAGTGTCCCAAGATGGATGTGGGTTAGCCTTAGGCTCCCAGGTGGGTGTGGGGGGGGGGGAACTTGGACCTACCCTGGACCTGGGTCCTGAGCAAGTAGGTGTGGGCAGACCTGGGCTGGGCTTGACCTCCTGCAATAGTCTGCTGGTTGGAAGGGACAGTCAGTCCTGTGTTAGAGGCTGGGCTCCTATGGGTGCCTGTCGGTGTTGACCCAGGCAAACTGTGAACCTGGGTCCTGTGCAGGCCAGTGTGGGCGGATCTCATTTGGTTCTTTATACTCTTAAAGTCTGTTATCATTTTATTTTTGCTTTTTTAAATATTATTTTACCTACTTTCAATTTAAGCTCTGTGAGAAATGAGAGTCAATACTATATCTTGCACATTTTTTTTCCCCCAGCTGCCTCTACCCTATTCTTGGTGCATTATTTGTTAAATAATGTTTGCTGAAAACAAAATCCTGCTAAATCAATGTAATGCAAAGCACTATTGAAGTACTGATATTGGGGAGGAAAAACTACATCTGTTCTAATGGGACTGAGATGAAGGAGAAAAGGTATGGATCTATATAAGTTTGGAGTTTGGGGGCAAGAAGTGAAGACTTTGATTCTCACACTGAACTAGAAGAACTAGTCCCCTTCCTAGAAGTAAGCAGTTGATGGTAGGGTGTGGGATATGAAGACAGCCATTTAAATTTGAATACTTACTAAAAGGAACGCAGAAACTACCAGAGAAGATTGGAAGGAATACTAAGTGGCTAAGTAGTTTTGGAGACCCTGTTGTTGAGGACAATGAGTCCAGTTGAGAGACTCCCCAGCACTGCTCAGCAGTATAGGCCTTGGAGAAACAATAGTTAGCATCCTTGAACCAGTGTTCAAACTGTGAAAAATAGGTGTGAAGTACATTAAAAGGTGTTAAAAATTCGAGAACTAAAGTGAAAGTGATGGAGGTGATTCACAGATGTTCTTGATTGAGTAGAGGAAGAAATGATGCCAAAAGGGTTCTCACAGCTTGTGACAAAGTAGGAGGTCACAGGAGTGAAAGACTCCACATATCTGAGGAATAGTCATAAGATTGGACACATGAAGCAAATTATGAAAAAGCACAATGAAGGAGGGAGATGTAGGATAAAGTGGGTGGAAGTGATTCCTTAAGTCAAATAAGGCAGTGGGAGTGGAGAGCTCTCTTTAGAATGAGTCCTTACTGGAGGCATTTCTTCCAAGACCCTTTAATACCTATCAACATTTAAATTTCTTCAAGTCTGCAATGTCTTGAAGAAACAAAGAGCCAAAAAATATATTTATGGAATGCATGATGACTAGATGCTTCATTTGGTGGTGGAACAATAAGGCCACCTTGGGTGCAATGAACAATTCATGCATTACAATAATTTCCTGAGGCAATTTGCTAAGTGATGCAGGGGAAATTCAGATCACTAGTAGATTATGCTCACTTAGAACATTTTCCCCTCTGGGCTGAGTGAGCATTTCAGGAATGTGTTTAGTGAGGCACTGCCACTAATCAACCAATCCCTGGGTGTGTGGTGCCTCCTCTGAACAGTGGAGCTAATTGCCTAAAAAACAACTATCCTTCTGAAATATTTCTTACCTCTACTGAAAGTATATTAAGAAGAATAACATATCTTTATTCATTACTCAGTCAACGGATTTTTTTATTTATATATGACAGCAGAATGCATTACAATTCTTATTACACATATAGAGCACAATTTTTCATATCTCTGGTTTTATACAACAAATGTTTATTGATAAAATAAAGCTACTTTACAATAGCAAAGCTGGATGGCAAAAGAACAAACCAGAACATAATTCTCAGTGGAATCCTAGCAGGTAGGTGAAGATTAGATGACAATAGTAAGAATACTAACAGGAACATGTGCATGGTACTTTACAAGTTATGTCACATATGTTTAGCTTCTTAGATCCTCCTGATAATCCTGTGAGGTGTTATTGTTCAGTATTTTAAGAAGAGAAAACTATGTCTTAACAATTTTAGTAACATTTTAAGGCAAGTAGTTTTTCTGCAACTACAGTTCACTTCCTCAATTTTTTTTTTCAATAAAAGTACTTTTGGGAGGTAGTATGTCATGAGGGTAGCTTAGCACTACTCAACAGGATGGCACTGTGGGAGGGATCACATCCAGGTTTAGTTCACTTAGCAATCAGAGAACTCAGAAGATGGGCTCAAGGGAGAGAATGTGTTTTCCACCATGGCTCCACCAGGTGGCAGTGAGGGCCACCATTAGAGACTAGTGTGAGTCAATGCAGACATTTGGCTATAAGTGGCTCAAGCAGAAGGGAGGAAAGAAGCAAGTCAATGCTATTCTCTTAGCGTGTTAGAATTAGTGGTGCTGCTATTGTATTCAGCAAAGTTTTTCATGCTTATGGTGAGTGGGACAACAGTGAAAGAAACTATGAGTGGGAAGCACATACTATGTAATATGTTCTCTTATTCTTAGTCTATACTTCCAATCCCACCCCTGAATTCTAGGTGATCGTGTGAGTATTATTGTCAGGCAGCATGAAATTGGTTGTTCTCCTGGGAGAAAAAGTGCATGTGTTCAGTGCATTCATGTTGATTGCTATATGTACACTGTTTCTTTTGAAGTTTACCAGTCTCTTATCCATCAGAAAGAAAAGCAACTTGCAGTATCATAGAGGTATTGGAATTTTATATGCACTTAATAGATAAAGGAATTCAAGACAACTTGATACTTTCCTTGTTTTGACACAACACAGTAAGAGGTACAAATTTTGGCCACTGGGGGGAAATAATGAGTTCCCGATTAGAGAATGCCATATCAGAAAATGTATGTGGCTGGGAATAAAGAATTAGAACACTTCTTTTTGCATATACTAATAATTAGATGCTATACTAATCCTTCTAGGAGTTAGAAAATAAAATGTTCTATTTGTCTGGGGATGCTCAGGGACCCAGGCATTTTGTACTCAGTCCCCAGGAATAAAATCCTAGTTCCCATCAGTGGAAAGGCTGTTGTATTTGAGGAGATTCCTTCTCCACAGGAGATATCTGCTTTTCTTCTGGCACTGAGGGTAGATCAGGTGCTTTCTGCCCACACCTTGCTACTGTGAAGCGACTCATGTGAATAGCTTCCTCATACCCTGGGAGGGTGTCCAGTGAGGAGGGCAGCTGGCCCAGGGAGCTGTGGGAGCGAGTCACAGCCAGGATTCTCCGAGCTGCAGGGCCAAACACTGACTGCAGGGCTGCAAGGAAAGGAGGGATAAAGCTAGCATAAATGGGAGAGCCCCAGGCACCAGAGGCTTACATCGCCCTTAATATCCTTTCATTTTTAACATGTGTCCAAACTCATTGTCACTCCCTGCCACAAAATTTATGAAAATCCTGTAAAGCTCATTTAAAAAACCACCTTTAAAATCTGTTTTAAGATCCTGTCTTCTCTGATGTCTCTGAGTAATCTAAATTGTGCTCCCATAGCTCACAAGCCTGGCTCTTTCCTTTTGAGACTTAGATCCCTTTACACCAACCCGTGATAGTAAGGATTCCTTGGGGATATTTATTTCTGCCCTATTTATCATTGCTCTAAGATGGCCAAGAGTAAAGGAGGGAGGAGGGTGAAAAACAGCACATCACAGTGTTCTTTCTAAAATAAATATCAGAGTGTTTTGCTATCTGGTTTTCTGCCTTGTATTTACTCCCTAATTTCAGGAAATATAAAGAACAGAAGGAGAAAAATAACCATATAATCAAAAGGACATTGGAGCTAAAATCTAGAGTACTAAGACTTGAATACAGAATTGAAAGTGGGGGCACCACTAGTTTCTTTTATGATACAAAATAGAAGAAATATAATAGAAAATGTAGACTTTCACCAAATCTGAGACATTTGGGGAAAGGTGTATGTGCAGAAGGTAAAATAGCTTTAGCAAAATAAGGATCTATAAACTGCGTGAGTCTTCCTATAAAAGATCTTCAACGTTATCTCCAATATTTCACTTCTTTCTTCACTCTATCAGCCTGACAAATAATTGAGAATACAGCATTGGTAAGAAGCCAGGTCTCTGCACCTCTGAACTTCTGGAAATTAAAGCTACCCCAGTCCTAGAATATTTAATAGTCTTTGATCAGTGCTTCCATGCTTCTGTACTCCTGGAGCCATTCTTTTCAACCTGGATCCCTCTCTCATGCCATAAGGCCATGTACTCACAAGTAAAAGTGCTCTGAAGGGTGCTGTCATGATCAAAAGCGATGACTGTCACTTCGTAGGGCAGCTGGCCCCCGTCTTCGCCTTGTTGCTGACGACCCAGGCAGCAGCGGAAGCACACTGAGGTCAGGCCACACAGGAGCAGCAGCGCGCCAATCACCACCAGCAACCTGCAAGAGCCCGCGGAGCAGGTCCGAGCTGGCTTGTTTCCCAGCTCGGTGTAATCAGCCTTTAAGGTCTGCCTTTTGATTCTCATGGATATTTTATGGAATAATTATTAGATTTTAATTCCAAGTCTATAGACCTTCTTATTTTGTCAGCAAGACCAAGTCAGTTCGCTAGAGCAAATAATAAGATATTTATGATAGGTGGAAAGGGCTGCTTTTGACTTCACAAGTAAATCCCCATGTAGAGAGATTTCTCAAGCCTACTCTGAGGGAAGGACACAATAATCTTTTGATGTTGGCTGAAGAGATCATAATAAAATAGAAAATCCTGGCATTATTGTCATTTAGGTTAGTGATGAGGTAAAGAAACTTAACTATATGAAATGTTAAGTAGGCACCTTTGCTTCCTGGTCACAATATGTATTGAAACTTAAGGGCTGGAGATGTGGCTCCAGTGATAGCGCGCTCGCCTGGCATGCGTGGGGCCCTGGTTCGATCCTCAGCACCACATACAAACAAAGATGTTGTGTCCACCGAAAACCAAAAAATAAATATTAAAAAAAAAAGAAACTTAAAAAAAAAAAAAGAATGTTCTTAAAAATGAAGTGTCTGGGCTGGGGGTGTGGCTCAAGCGGTAGCGCACTCGCCTGGCATGCGCAAGGCGCTGGGTTCATCCTCAGCACCACTTAAAAATAAAATAAAGATGTTGTGTCCACTGAAAAAACTAAAAAATAAATATTAAAAAAATCTCTCTCTCTTTAAAAAAATAAAAATAAATAAATAAAAATAAATGAAGTGTCTTTGTAGGTGTTATAACTGAAACTTACCATATATACCAGAGATGTACCCAGTCTGTGGTCAGGCAACTATGGAGAAAGAATAAAGTTTGTTAAATTAAAAACCAGAAATATGAGTTACAGAGTGATACCACATTATAATAAACACAACATGGGTTGTATTATTTAAAATTCAATGTAACTAGCCAATTCTATTGTAAATGGTGTGCCTCAAATGATGTTTTATACTAGATGGGGGGGGCTTTGGGTAAATCATTTTATAAATCACTATAAAACAGATCAAAGTACTGATCATGAAAAGTGTTAATAGAAAATATCTCCATGGCTACTGTAAATAGTTATGGTGAAAATTGCCAGGAATGAACTTGGAATGAAATTGCTAAAGAGTAACCTTAAAAACAGATGTGAACTTAATTAAGGTTTGCATAAATTTGAGCTTAATAAAATGTAACTATAAAGAAAGTTTCAGTTAAGAGCATGAAAGCTATCAAGTCTGTAATTCATGTTTCATAAATTCTTGCAACATCCTTACCATGAAAAGGGGCCTAAAGTGTCACATCCGGGGTCAAAACTGATAACAGATATCCACTAAGACTGAAAAGGAAGAAGGTAAAAAGCAGAGTCTAACTTTGATATTATGAAAACTAACTAAATATTCTGAATTAACTTTGGCAATTTAAAATTTTCTCTGGAGGAATGGAAATATAGGGATTGCATGGGAGAAAGAATGAGAGAAAATCAGGAATTGGAGGAGGAGAAAAAAGTATGTGTGCATCTCTGAGATACAAAATTTTTTTCATTTAATAATATTTTCTAATACGTTGACCTATTGAGATCTAGTGAAGCTCATTTCTTTTTCCCTTCTTTAGTTATATATTCATAAAAATACAGTTTGTTATTTTACTGTACAATGTCTCCTCTTGTTTTTTTCACATTCACCATTTGTTCAGAACTCTTCTGGTTCTTCATCAGACTCAGGTTCTATAGAAAAGGACTCTTCCTAGGGTATATAGATAGAGTGTGTCAAGTAGCCAAGGTCCAATGTACATGTGACAAATAACCAAGACTATCACTAGTTCCCCCGTGTTCACAGACTTCTTAGCTCTTTCTTGCGAAACCTTTCTCATGGATAACTGTGTTTTCCTTCAGCCTAAACAGGTCTTTTATTCACTCTCTACTTTATCTTTTTTTATAGTTCCCAAAGTAGAATGAATCACTTGCATTTTTATCTTTATGTTCTCTATGTCTGCATAAGACCTAATAGTGGCAGGTTTAGATTAAGGGATAATTCCATCAAAGTGGTAGCTAAATTAAGTCTGCAATAAATATTAACATGTTCTAAAAACTAGAATATACTTCTTTGGAAATCACCTAAGTAGATAACACTAATGATTAGATACTGAATCCAGTCTGTCCTGATGAGTCACTGAGAAACATGGCTAAGAAAGTCTTTTGCAAGTCTCTGTGACTATTGAGACTAATTGTTCTGCTTTGATGGGAAGATTAGCTTGGGAAAAAGTACTGTCAGCAGTATTATTTTCAGTCTTAGGATGACACATACATGTCTATGATTGTAGGTGATTGTTCATTTAAGTAGAAATAAAGGGAAGTCATAGACATCTAATGACATTTTGACCCGCATTTGGGTATTGATGCTTTTGTCTGATCTTCCTTCCTCCCAGCTTGAACTCTAAGATACTTACTGTTCAGGATTGGCACAGTTCTCTTCACATCTTGCCCCAGGAAGCTGTAGAAAGGGAAATAGTCTCAGACAGGGAAATTGTCTCATCTGCTGTGCTCAGCAGCCTATCAATCACCTCTCAGCGCTATGCTCTGTTAGATCAATTGGTAAAGATGAGGACATGGTCAGAAGGTCAATCCATATTTAGGACAGTTACTTTTATCTCTTCCATGTGTGCTGACTATTGTACTTGAGATGGGAGAACGTGGAAGGACAAATATCTCTTCTTTTGTTAGGGGGTGAACATCACACCACCACTGTGGTGAATGAGAGGCAATTATTTATACCAATTTGTCTTTCTTAGAAATTTCCTGATCTGTCCTTCAGGATATCATGATTGTCCTCTTTATTCCTGCCTAGTTGTAAATTGAATTCCATCTCACTGCCCTGTTTTATGCCCACAATACATCAATAATTCACCATACAAGAGAGGAAGGGGAAAGGAACCAAAGAAAACTTACTACTGAATAGCTATCATTTGCCAGTAAGCCTGCTAAGAATTATTAATATTTCATAACATTTCATTACAATAATCCTGTTGGTTGATATTTATAGCTTTGTTTTGAAAGACAAAGGGACTAAGGTACAGGTCCTAAAGTAATGTGACCAACTATGTATACCCTTTGATGAAGCCAGAATTCAAATCTGACTCTATCCTGAACATGTATTGAATGGGTTGAAACAGCCAATGACAAGTTTGTTCTAACAATCCTTCGATATTGTTATCAATTCCTTCCACTCCTTGAAAATAATACAGAATAAAGAAAGCTTCTACTCCTTTCTTATATATCTGGTGACTTCCTCTTTCAAAGAACCTTTTAGGTAAACTCTAGTTCTAGAAACCATTTCTTTTTGATATTTCATTTGTATCTACTAGGGATTTATGTTGAGGAGTCAGGGGGTAGGGGACATGCATATTCAAGATATATCAAGGGAAAAGGATTTCTAGAAGGACTAACAACTACCCTCCACAGACAACATTTCAGAGATTCCTGCTATCATTTTATTTTCATCTAAAATAGATGGCCACATCACAAATAATGGCTCTGTGTGTTTCCTCAATCCATCTTTGGTACTTCTGTTTCACTTTCTTCACTAATGGAAAGAGAAACACCAGATACTTGGAGGAGAAAATGCCACTTTTGGGGGGCTTATTGCAAAATGAGGAGAAAAGAGAACTAAAAGAGAGAGGAGGAAAATGGAGAGATGGAGTAAAGAGAAAATACCAGAAAAAGAAAGAAAAATTGAATTTCCAAATATTGGTTAACTGGTAAATAGGAAGCGACACAGACAGCCACTCCCTGTACAGGGATATGATACAACCCAGTTTCTGCATTTCTAGATTTCATAGCTACACAAACTTCTCCTTGATAATTGTTTACGATCCCTTAGTTCATGATATCTTTCTCAGATAATGGATTACTCACAGTCTTCTGATTAATGGGAGAGAAACAAAAGGCCTAAAGAATTTTTAGAATCCTCTTCCTTTTAATTTATTTCTGCAATGGAGGTATCTAAACTGCTGGAATAATATTAGGGCTGTCATGGGAAATTCCGTTTAGTGGAATTATGTATCTAGTATAATTTACTTGGAATTTCAAGGAATGGGTGATAAGATATGAAAAGAAGCACATGTAAGTGGCACTTCTAAAGTACCATAGCCTACCTGTATCAGCAATCACCCTAATTTCTGTCCTCTCTTTCACAGGTATTACCAGTCATACATGTATATAACCCTATAATACCACACTATTGGCTAAGTTCTATATTTGTCTTTTCACTCCACTTCCTCCCAAGTTCTTCTGAGAGTTTATTTACTTGAGGGGGAAAAAATGGCTTTTTCCTGTCCTTTGCAACTGAACTCACCTGGATGAAATATGCCAGGGCAGAGGCGGTGACGACCGGGACTGGGACTCCCATCGGGCTGAACACCTGCTCCTCCAGGATCATGCTCTGCGTATCTGCTGCCTCCTCTCCATGCTCTGAGCCATGATTGACATCTGGATCTAGAATTGTCAAGGAGAGAAGCTTTTCTCAGTAATAAGTCAGTTTTTCTCTGTCTCTCTCTGCTTTCTCCAACTCCCTCTGATTTTTGTTGTCTAGGGTCTTTTTTTCCTCTTGGTTTTCTTCTCTATTTCTCTTTTATAGTCTCCACATTTGCTCCCTTTGCCTTCTTTCCTTTCTTTCTGCTATCACTCCTTTCTGTGTTTTTAACTTTCTTTCCCCACTACCCACAGGAGAAAAACATTCAAGGAGGACACATTTGTCATCTGAATTAGATATTGTTCTAATTGGTGATGAGAACTTCAGCTTTGAAGAAGATCAAAGGATTGCTGGTGACTAAATACATTCTCTTCTCCCCAAAACTAGTAATTCTCTTGGTCATTCACCACAGCACTCCAGGGTGACTATTGAATGTTGAAAGTCACCCTGCCAATCTCCTTTAACTTCCCTCCATGTGATTCAAAACCCCCCTTCTTCTTCTCTGGAGCCCTCCCCTTCTATGTTGATAATCAACTCTCCTGGTTCTGGGTCATTTATTTCTAAACATTGGGGTAGGGCTGAGAGATTGCCAGATGAACTGGAAAGCTGTCCCATCTTTCAAGTAGGGAGGCTTAGAAATTAGAATTTCCAAATGCTATTAATGGTCTCCTCCTCCACACTCACTCCAGTTCCCACTGAAACAGGTTATGCACAGGCATGTTTTTGAAAACTAGATTCCAAGGTTTCTTTCTTTGTTTTCTTCATTGTTGTTTTTGTCTTTTTCCTTCTTTTCCCCCTACACTTTCCCCCTCTCTAGGTAAAGTAGTATTGTGATCAAGGAATAGTTCTTGCCCCTCAGAATCTGGGCACAGTGGCATGCACCTAATAGTGCCAGCTACTCCAGAGGCCTAAACAAAAGAATCAGTTCATCCCAGGAATTAAAGACCAGCCTGGACAGCATAAGATGACCCCCACCTCAAAATAGATAAATAAAATTAAAAATAAGTAAAAAAAAATATTGCCACTCAAGAAAATAAACTAAGATCTGAAAAAATTAAGCACATATGGAAAGGATATAAAATACTTACAAGGAAGCATATCTATAAGAATGAATAAATACTGTATAGATGAGTTATGCCTACGTAGGTAATCTTTTATTTAATCCAAAGTACTTGATAAGACAATTAAATGTTAGTTTACAGGGGTATATCTATCTCATAAGAATTAAATAAAACCACATTTCAAATCCTTTCTGACTCTGGAAGTCTAAATTATATGAAGTGGTTGTTGAGGGGATATTGCCTAGTGGGATCAAACATACACTAAAGGGCCCTCACAACTATGAAAATGTGATGAGAAGATGGAGACGGTGAACTTTATTTTTTTTTTTCTTAGTGAAGTAAGATAGTGAGAGAATATCCTGGTATGATGCTGGTTGTTTAAAATTTATCAGTTTCAAATCTGTGAACGCTGACATTCTTTTTTAAAAATGTAAGGCTGTTGGGATTGGGACAAAGTATCCATTCCAAGTTTCAATAGAAAACTTGGCAAGGTGGAAGGCATTCTACAGGATGAGAAGAGTAGAACTTTAATTGTGGTCCTTTTAAAGCTCAATAATTATGTAATTCCCCATCTCATTCATAAAGGAATGGAATATCCACTCGACCTGCTTTAGATATTATTTCAGAGAGGAAAGAAAAACAAAGACAAGAAGTGTATTTTGAATAGACTATTTCTATTAAAAACCATCATGAAACTTTCCCTTTTATTTTTCTTTCTAAAGAAAAGAAAAAAAAATCACTTGTTATCTCTGCGACTTTGGGCAGGTTATCACATATCTTCATTGACTCAGTATTTTTTTTACATAAAAGAGGAGTAATAACATTTACTACTTATTACTTATTATTTATAGGCTTATAGACATTAAATAAGCTAATATGTATAAAATATATAGAATAGTCCTGATAAGTATTTTATGTGTTAGCTAAGATGATTTTAACTCTTATTTTACAAATAACTGTCACTTCTAATGTGCTGGATAATTAATGTCTTTTATGCCTCTTGTGTATATTTTTATACCAGTCCCTCTCTAAGGTACATTTTAGCTCTTCTAATAGCCTGGCTCTTGAATATTTTCCCATGTTAGCCTGTCCATTTCTTTCCACAACCAGGCCGGCCTCCACCTGTGTGAACAGGTTTGCCAATGAACATGGCTTTTCCCCTCATTGACTTTCCTGCCATGTGACTGCCATCATCTTTTTGCCCTCCAGCCTTCTAACAGGTTAGAACAAAATAGCCTTCTGTTAATGACTGCCTCAATATTTTTCTTTCATGGAATTACTATTGCCATTCTCCCCAAAGCGTTCACTGGGGAAATAAAACAACTTTTTATTTTTATCCTAATGAGTGTGATTATGTCTTGTGACAGTTTTAACTCCAAGGTCAATTTTTCTCAATGCCTCCACATGGGGAGTGATGACAAAGGAAAGAGAAGACTAAAGAAGGCACACATGGGATAGGGACAGAAAGGCAAGTAGCTGGAGTAGTGGGGAATGACCTCATTACCATCCTACACAATCTTGTGTAGTTCCATTAAGCCTGTGAATCATTAGCTTGCACTGTGCTGTTAAGGACTTGGATTGGAACCAATGAGAAGTGCATGTACATGGACCATCTTGCTTATGCTTCAGGGAATTGTTGTACAACCTCTGTGACAAGTTTAGCTAAAGAAGTGCTTGCTTCTGTTTCCTTTGATTAGTCTCTTTTTGACCTTGGCTAACTCAGGTCACCCACCCTCTCTGTGCTTGAGTGAAGTAGAATCCAGGACTGTGATTACTCTGAGGTATCAATATCAAGCTATAAAGGGCTGATCAGTGGACTGGGCCAAAACATGAGGTCAAGAGTAGATGAGATGGCAGAAGTCAGTCCCTTCTTAAAACCTCTGAAAGCATCTGTCTTATGAGCCAAGATCGAAGCATAGGTATTGAGTGGAAACCCCACAGGGACTGAAAATCAGTAAGGGGATTAGATTTAAGGAAGCTGAGTAAGGCAAGAAGGATTGAGTTTATCAAAGAATGAATTAGGTTTATATTCTATAAAACTTATTACCATGAACCATGTGAGTAATAATATAGAGCAACACATACTTGTTATCTTGCATCTATGAATCAGAAGCTTGGGCACAGTTTAGTTGGGTCTTCTGCTTAGGGTCTCACAAAGCTGAAATCAAGGTGACTTCTGGCCTGCATTCTCATCTGAAGGGTCAAATGGGGGAAGAATTCACCCACAAGATCCCTCAGGCAGAATGCATTTCTTTGTGATGTTTGTGTCAGTATAAACTTGTTTCTCTAAATCTAGATGGAGAAATAGAGATAGCAGAGGGAGAGGGTTTAACATAGTAGTCACTACATCTTATGTAATCACATATGCATGATCACATACATTCCATCACTTTTGCTGCTCTTCAAGTCAAAGTTCTTACTCATGTTCAAAGGGAAGAGATTATCCTGGACCATGAACACCAGGAGGAGGGGTCAATTGGAGACTTCATAGGTATATCAAGTCTGCCCAGGTATCTGCCACACAAGAATTATAGACTATGTTCATGGACATTTAAGAACAGGAGAAACCAAATGGCTATTGACAGATGGACAAATAAAAAAATATGTTCTATATGCACCTAAGGGAATGTTATGCAGCCTTGGAAAACAAGGAAGTTCTAATACATGCTAAAGCATGGATGAAACTTGAAGATTTCATACAAAGTATAATGTAACTCAAACACAAATTGACAAATATTTTATGTTTCTACTTACATGAAGCATGCTATGGGGTATATTTTGAATGTCCCCCAAAGATCTATGTGTCAGAGGCTTGATCCCCAGCCTGTGGTGGTATTGGGAGATGGTGGAACCTTGAGGAGGTGAGGCCTAGTATAGGAATTAGGTCACTGGGGGCATGACCTTCAGGGGGATATTTGGATACTGGATCCTTCCTTCCTCTCTCTCTCTCTCTCCACTTCCTGTCTGCCATGACGTGGACAGCTTTGCTTCACCACCTGCTCCCTGTCATGGTGTTCTGCTTTTCCAAAGATTCTAAACAACAGTCAAAGACCATGAACTGAAATGACTAAAATAATGAGAGCCAAAATAAACCTTTTTTCTTATAATTATCTCAGGTATTTTGTCATACTGATGAGAAGTTAGCACAAGGCATCTAGTTCTAGCAAAATCTGGAAACAGAATGGTGGTTTCCAGAAGAGGAAGAAGGAAGAGGGAGTTGTATATATCAGAGTTCTCTAGAAAAGTAGAATCAATAGGATGTGTACATACATAGAAAGAAATTTATTATGAGGAATTGACTTAAATGTTTATAGAGGCTGAAAAGTCCAAATCAGAAGTGAGGGTCAGTAGCCCGAGGGTCCAGGAGAAATGATGGTACAATTTCTGCCCAAAGGCCAGCAGGTGAAGAAGACCCAGAAGGGCTAGGAGAGGTAGTTTTTACCCAAAGTCCATATGCTGAAGAATTTTTTCTTATTTGTGGGGAGGTTAGTCTTTTTGTTCTTCAGTCCTTCAGTTTTTGGAAGAGATCCACCCACATTATGTGTTGAAATGTGCTATATTTTACTAATTAATATGTTCATCCCATCCCCAAACACCCTATCTTGGCACTTGATTGCCCCCCCCCCAAAAAAAAACTATCTGTAAAATTCACCATCACAGGAGTTATTTATTGGGTACAGAGTTTCAGATGGAAAAGATTTTAAAAGTTCTAGAGGTGGATTGTGGTGCTGACTGTACAACAATACAAATTTAATTAATTCCATAGTGAACAGTATGTCTGAAATGGTTAAAATGGCAACCTCTTTATGCTATGAAATGTTAGGGGCATGTTAAGTAACTATGGGAATAATAAAGTGTCCTTTTTATTTCAGGATCTATTAATTCATTATTATATGGAATTTCCTAAGATTTTATTCAAGTGTGAGTCACCATGGTTGTTGCAGAAATGTGTCCAATCAGGACCTTGCTTCCTGGCACTCACATTCCAGGGAACTGGCAAGGGGCTTGGTGATAAAGGTAAGTAACATTTTCTGGCTACCAGCTGGTTTGATAAGGATGTATTTGCTACATGTTGATAATTGTGTGTGTGAACTATGTCACAGAGCAAAACATTAAATGGCAAAGAAGCTGTTTTCAATTTGGTATTAGATACACTGCACAGAAAAAGAGAATGCAGGGAAAACTTAGGGAGAAGGAAGAAAATGGAATCCTAATGAGACTGCCAATATTGGTTATTTTTACTAATTAGTTTTCTAGAGACTTTATTTATTTTTCCATTCTTCTGTTAGCTATCTCTTCCTTCTTTTTCTTTCCTTTTCTTTTTTCCCCCCAAAGTGGTTTAAAGCAAATTTTAGAATCATGTTACCTTTTACGTAAATACTTCAGAAAACATATTTAGAAGATATGGATATTTTTTAGAAGTGCACATACCTTCAAAGAGATATTTCTTTTCTGATGAGGTGATCATGAAGGAAAAATAGATGAGAAGTCTATTCGTGAATCCATGTAGTTAGACATACTTAAGGGGAGTGCACAGAAGAGTGTTTGTGACTTGAGTCAATCACTGGTTAGACCAAAATGTATTATTTGCTGGGCAACTTATCTGTGCTAAATATTAGAAATAATAATAGTTATAACAAATATTTGTTGAGTTCTTGTTATATTTCAAATACCAAATTGAAAACAGCTTTTCACTTTCACTCATTGTCTCATTTGAATCCCTATAGCAACATTATCCAGTAGACATTATCTCCACTTATAGACAGAGACATTGATCAGTGTTAAGTAATTCCCCAAGAGGAAAGACCAAGGGAGATATTTGAAACTTTCTTATCTAGTCCAATAGTTCTCTCTGCTGCTGTTATATGGCCACTGTATGAAATAGTACCCCCAATTCAGTTCTAAAATTACCCAGAGTACCCTCTTGGAAATGGGAGTCATATGTGATTATCAATTAAAACAATGAGAATTATTAAAAAGTGTTAATTATAAGATATTGTATACAGTTTTCCACAGCAAAAATTAACAAGCAAATGTGAATATTGGGCTAAATGAACCCTCTTCCACAGATTTAATATGACTTACTTTCTGTTAATTTTGGCATCCTTATCTAATGAGTATATACAACTTTTTCCCTCTAAGACTCATGGAAAATACGTTTTTCCTTTCATAAATTGCTTACTGAAATGTTAGAATCCACCACTTTCCCCACCTGCAATAGATGTAACCCAAGAATTTGCGTCACTCAACTTCCCAATATGAAGCAAAGACTCCCTTTCCTCCCAGGGATGATTGAGTCATTTTTCTATTAGATAACAGAAGCTATTTAAACACTCCAGCAGAAGCTCATACACTTTTAGTTTGTTGAAGTCCTTGACTGCTACACTCTCTGATTCTTGGCATGAATTTGGAAATGACTTTTGATGACCTCAAAATGAAGCCTGGGAAGGATCAGCCTGACCAGAAGTTAAATGGAGAAAGAGCTAAAGGTACTAGGGGTGGGTAAAAGTGTACAGAGAAAGAATACCGGGGTTAGTTCAGAAATGTAAATTTATTGAAGAAAGGAGTTAAAATCCATTTAATGAAAATTATTACCATTCAAGGAAAACAAATAGTATATAATGATGGTGATGAAAACTTATACTGCATATTATTTACTACAAACTATTCTCTATGCTATTCATTTTAAATGTTTAGTTTTTAGACTGTTCAAATAATACTTTGAGATCCATACTATTATTATCTCCCTTTTACTGAGGGCCTACTGGGATCAGGAGGATTAACAAAATCACCCACATTTATGGAGCTAGTAAGTAGTAAACTAGAATTATATCACAAACTCTCATTTATTAGAATCCAATCCATGAGATGGTTCAGAAAACAAATTCATCCCACTGTGTACAGTCATAATTTTTGTTTATTCTTGAGGCACTGCAAAAATCTGAAATGTTTTATGAATTATGCAAAACAAGTTAAATGATACACATTATGGATTAGCATAAATTATGTTCTATTGTATATAATTGTTTGAAAATTTATACTTTCTGTTTGACACACACAGTAAATTAAACTGCTTAGGTATACATTAATTCATAAGTCCAACTCCACAGGCAACCTGGATAAATTGCCTTTTATTTTATATTCATTCTAAATAAAAAGAAAAAAAGGAGAGGAAGACAGAGAAGTATTGTCAGAAATTTGGATAAAGAAATTCTAAATCATGTTTCTATAAACAAGATAGAAATGTCTTTCAATGGGTAAAATAATGATGAGCATGGAATGATGTAACCCTTGAGTTGATGAACTAACTTGGTATGAAAACAGTGAAACATTTATTGGTAGACTTACAAGTTAACAATTGACATTTGTTTATTCATTCCTTCACTCAATCATTCATTCAGTATTCATGTAGTAAATATTGAGCACCTGTCTCTTGATATAATTATAAAATTAATTCTGCTTTCAAAATCCTGATTAGATAAGTTACCTACTGAGAAACATCTGATTACTTTCTGATAATAAAGTCACTAGTAGGAATGGGGAATGAATTAATGGTCTCTGCAGAACAAAGCAGTCCTCTAGATAATAGAAGATGTGCTTCTCTATTATCTATTATTTCTATTATCTGGTGTTCTGTAATTTTTTCCTTCTAAAAATTCAGAAGTTTCATCATTCAAGAGTGGTAGGCATATCTGATGTCCTGTAATTTGAAATGAATACTGACCAGAGAGAAAGGTCAGTTGAGACTTACAGAGATACATGCTAGGATTAGGCAA